ACGGACAGACGGACAGACGGACAGACGGACAGACGGACAGACGGACAGACGGACAGACGGACAAACAGACAAAGAAAAAGACAGACGGACAAACAGACATAGAAAAAGACAGACGGACAAACATACATAGAAAAAGACAGACGGACAAACATACATAGAAAAAGACAGACGGACAAACATACATAGAAAATGAAAAGACGCTCAGACATTTATTGGAAATTAAGGTTAAAAACGACAAAACACATATTTTAAGCGTATAAATGTGTTAAATGTATGAACATGGTTGCAAGTCCATCTGTTGAAGCAATGAAAGTTCAAACATTGAGGTCGCTTTACATGTGGTCTTTGACAAAGAATATTTAGAAACGATTAGCATAACATCATTTGGAGGACCACAAGGTTTTTAAGTTAATTTTGCTTTAACAAAAAAAAACCTGCTCTCAGATCTTCTAGCTTCAAAGGCTTCCCTTTATGAATGAACAACTACTTATTCATGATGCATGCCTTCTGCTTTGTACATGTATTTAGAAAGATTCAGACGTGGGATAAATACCTGCGAATGGTGTTCTTCCTCTCCTTTTGGAGATCAGTATTTGAAAGTCGCCCTTCACGGGCCAGGTGACTGTCGGGATACTTTTCATCGGATGTTCTGCACAAAGTGTGTGGTTTACTTTTTCAATTTCATGTAGATCTACTACTGGGGAAGTATTCTTTAGATTTTTATATTGGCCTTGGTGTTTCTGTCGTTTTCTGATGTTAGTTTTATGTCAATACTCTGAAAGATTAAGGAGTGTTCATAGGTCACATGATAAATAAAGGTTGGTTAACATAGCTCAAAAATACTTAGAATTGTCTCCGTTGTTAACGAGGGCAGCTACAGACAATACTTTATTAAGGAATTTTCTCGAATACAGCAAACAGGGGGGCTCTCGTGGCCTAGAGGTTAAGGTGTTGGCCTCTCATTCAAAGGTCCCGGGTTCGAATATGGGTAGCGACCAAAACATTTTCTTCTCTAAAATTGTCTCCTTTCACCTCCTTTCCAGCTCTCTAGCAATGTTCTGTTGTCTGCTTTCAATTCCACTTTCTGCCCCCACCCCCTCACCTCCTCTAGGCTCTTGACTCTTTCTGCAGCCTTTCTACTGCTACTCCTTGGCTCCTCCTTACTGCTGTCTTTCTGCCACACCCCTGATCTTCTAGTAGGAAAGATCTAC